ACCACGACTAAACTAGGTTTTTAAAACGCAGATTTAAAAATAATACGGAGTGGTCTCTTAATTTTCCAGAGCTGTGTATTGTTTTAGAGAAAATGTCAATTATACTGCTTAGACAATTAGCATGGGNCCCCCCCCCCCCCCCAATAATCAAAACTAGCCAATACAATAATGTACATAGTTATGTCCTTGACAGTGATTGTCCGTAACACAAGCAAATTTTACTCACGGTCTGTCTGGCAGGCACCTCGTCACACATTTTTGTCAGGCCCTACTGATTTTTCCTCACCAGCTGCTCGAGTCAGAACTGGAAAAACAGAATGAGCGTGACGATTTGGCCACCGCCGTCGGCCGTGTTCCGTTAGCCTTAAGCAGCCATTCATAATCGAGCTCATCAAGCGGCGGCGTCACAAAGAATGAACAAATAATCGGAAACCGATGCACGTTTCCATGGGGACAGAAGAACGCCCTTGAGGAGCCAAGCGCTCCTGACAAAGTCTGGCACAGCGTGGCACAACACGGGCTGTCTGGGCATCACCTGCACCGCCTTTTTCAGCAGGAGCTGTCTGGAGGTCCACCCTGGGTCATTAGACTTTAATTCTTTCTCTTCTCCTCTCTTTCCTGGCTTGCCGGAACTTTTTTTGATTTTTTTTTTCTCCCTTCCATCTTCTTTATATTTAATAAGTCTCTCCCGTCACCTGCCAGATGCTGCCCGTCTCGTCCCATCTCCTCGCAGCTCTACGGCTCCCTCAGCTATTCATCTCAGACGCTCCATCTAACCTCTCTCATTTTCTCCTGTGTCACTCGAGGCGAGGGGGCACCTCAGCTGACGCTCAGACGCACACACACACACACCCCCCCCATCCATCTCGCCTTGGCGGGGGCTGCTGACCTCATTACCATGTACTACCCCAAAGATTAATCACAGCACCAGAACTAGGGGACTCAGCCCAAGAGGCCCATCTTAGAGGAGGACGGGTTACGTTACTGCATGCCCATGGTTGGATATCTTCATACGGGATAAAGAATTTGAACCAAACAAACACGTCCTAAACCAGGGGTGGGGAATCAGCCAATAACAGTGTGTCCCCAGAACTGGAGTTGAGAAACACTGCTTTACTACTGGCTGATTGAGAGGCCATCCCAAAAACTTCTCTATGGATCAGGTTCCCCACCCCAGCCCTAAACCAAACGTGGAAATTTGGCTTGATTTTTCAAATTATCTTCACATAACGGTTGTAAATTCTCTGGTGTGGACCGATATGGTATTAGCCAACTGTTTCTGCATCAGAGAAGGTTCCAGACCAGATCTGCACCTGTTCTGCTCCTTTATGGGCTTTGGGCCCCTGCAGCAAAGCCAGCTACGGAGTCAACCCCCAGAGATTTCATGACATGTTTGCCTGGGAAGGATCCTCTCAGCTCTTGTCACAGTGCACACGATTGGCCCCAGATGCCCTGCAAAAATTCCCACGCCAACACCTCCATGGACTTTGCTGCAGGCTGAGAGCAAGCTAGCAGACGGAGCAAGAGCAGACTTTCTGGTCGCCTTGCAAAGAGGCAGTAAATCTTCAGGGTTAAGTGCGGGAGCAGCTGTTTTCCAGTCCTCCAGATGTTAGCACGCAAAGAGACAAACACAGGCAGGCAGGGCAGGGTGAGAGGCAGGTTATAGCGAGAGCAACACCAGGAAAAAGGTCCCAGCAAAGCTTACACAGAGCTGAAGGCAGACTAGAATACAAACTACATCACAGCATTAGCAGCACAGACACTTATGCACAGAAACAGTAGCGCTGGAAGTAGGGGCCCAGACAGTGCTACAGCGCCCCCTGTGGTTGTTGGTGGTAGTGCAGTGTCAGAATACCGATGGGCTGCGTGCCAATATCTATAGCTTAAAACCAAAAAATAAGGGTGCCTATATTTTTATGCCTGTTATGTTGTTGTTAGCAGATAATAGCTATTGAAGAACTTCAGTAAAGTCTATTGGTCGTTCTGACTTTCAGCGTCCTGAGCTCAAAACGTCTTCCCGCGCCTATATGCGTTTAAAAGACAAGCTGCTCTGTAAACTGCTTATCATATTTGTTTGCCTGTTTCCTTAAAAGCTCTGTGTGACTTACCGCACTCACTTTGCGTTATATCCACAAACATGTGTCTCTAACCACACTATCATACTAGCCCACCAGTGTGCATGCATACATCATTCTTTCACACAGAGCAGGAGTTGGGGCTCTTTTTGTCCCATAAAGATTTCTTGCACCCCTTACGCCGGAATGTCATCTATACAGACGTCGTGGCATGTTATTTTTGCGCCGGCAACTGAGGCACTTTCATTCATTAAGAAACAGCGCCGTCTGCTGGCAAAACGGAGCAGCTGCCGACAGAAATTTTCCGTGGTGTGACATTTTTGCTCCATTCAAAGACGGCTGTGAAGGTCGCAAATGACTAAACATGAAAGTCCGGGCCGCTCACGATCCTATAAATAGTGCACTGTTACCGTAACTTACGTGATTATTATAACCGATACATGCCATAGTAGAAGAAAAAAATTAAGTGTTGCTAACAAACATGATCGGTGCTGAAGGAGCGGGGGGCAGTAGTTAGGATGATCTTAGCATCCTGATGATGGCAATAACACCCGCATCTTACGACTGCCAGGGGTTTTGGCTGGTTTAGAAACGGGGTAACGGGTGTTCTGCCCTTTTCTCTTACCCGACAAAAACTGCTTCCAAGCGCTACAGCGCATGCGTAAATCAACATCACATTACACGTCTACAGTGTCTGACATTTTTGCTACCCTTGCGTGGTTATCTTAAATGTTATTCTCATTTTGTTTATAACTGCGTCTGTTACAAAGGCGATTGTTAATATATTGTTTAGATTCTTACGGACTCCGAATTCTGTAAACATTGGACCAGATTGTACCATTAAACTTAAGTTTTGTTTGTTGAGACTCCTTTAATATGATGTTTCTGTTTTACCTAAAACAAAAGTTGCTTGACATTACATTTTTACTCTGGCATTACATTTCTTTATTTTAAAAATGAAACCTGTAGGCAGAAATATCTGGCAGTATACAACTACGTGTAAAACATTGATAACCCACTGAAAACTGTAGGCAGCAGTTTCTGGCAGCATAAAACTAGTTGGAGATAAACTGCAACCACAATGAAAATGAGTAGTCGTTTCTGACCGCGTACAAGTACGTGTAAAAAAAACTCCTACCCCAATTTAAAATACAGGACCGTTATTTTGATAGCATAAATCCTTATACAAGTGTGCATTCAAAACTACGGGTGGGATATTCTGGCAAAGGAGCAAAAAGCAACAGACATAACTGAAAATGTCTACTACAGTATATATACGGTAGCAAATTCTGGCAAGGCAGTACAAACGGCGGAACACATGTGAAAAGGAGCAAGCTGGCGGTTCCGGTGGCAGATGGACCCCTTAACCTCATTCGTATTGTTACACGCCTTGTTCCACGTACACCTTTCGGGTTGGTTCTGGGAAATTCATTTGCAGGGTTTTTTTCCCGGCCATGACTTTGCAATCCTTCCCCATTGTTTGAAGATACTTTGAAATACAAATAGTCCGAATCCCAAAGCGCCCTCGCTAAATGATCTAGCAGCCCCAACCCCCCACAAAAAACTCGAAAAGCATTGTGCATAAAAAAAACCTGGACAGGTTGAAAATAAAAATACGATCATTTATAAAAACCTGCATATGCGCGACCCCACTAAGAAATGTGTTCACAATTATCTTGTGAGATGAGACCACTGTGCAATTAAAAAAACTAAAACCAAAATGTAGAGTTTAATTCAAAAACACAATTGTTAGATAAATTAAATAGCACAAAAATCTTCAATAGGTCTATCAAAGAGAACAATACCGACACGGCCTCGCTCGGGGAACCTGGCAGACACCGTCCCGTACAGGTAATGCCGATTAATGCCGAGTGTGTGAATGCTTGTTTATCTCAATTTGAACTAGACTGGCCGCTTCACCTTAAAAGTAATTTTCCTCGTTCTAATCAGATAGGAGCTTTGGTTTCTACTGCATATATTTTTTGTTCGTCCATGAAGAAAAAAAGTCTTGGTTAACCGGAGTTGTGTTTTTTAAAATGGCTGTCAGTGTCAGTCTTCGGATCGTGGTGAGAAAATCGTCATAAACGCAATAAAAAAAAACAACTCGATCCTGACATTTTAACCGAATCGTAATAATATAGTGTGCCATTTACCCAAAAGATTAGTTGTTTACGTCACTTCTGACATACTGTATCTGGTTGGTGGCACTACATGTATTAATCTGAGATGTAATATATTGGAAGGAGACCATTGCAATAGAGAGCAGTAATGACGTGCCAGATGGCACCAGTGAAAATCTTGGGGTGGCACAAAAATCGAAAGCCATAATGGAATTTCAGGAATTCTGTTCTGCTGTTGAAGTATATAGAATAGTGACTATGTCAACATGAGAGTTAAGGAATAGCATATCGGTATACTTTGGTTTCTTATTTTACAGCTAATATTACTAACTTGATATTTTCTTTCATATGGACTTCTTGAAAAATACGCTTTATTGATTAAATAGCACCTAATGTAAAATATCAGATAAAGGTATGTTATGCAGCATATGTAATGTATATGGAATTCGCTGGGGGAGTTTAATGGAGGGGGAAGAGGAGATTGTATCACAGTGACCGTCCTTTACGTATTAAGTATTCATTTCGCATTGGTAGTGAGTAAAAAATACATATGAGAAATAAATATGGCCAATATGAACTACACCATTCATATTTAGCCAATGATACTGAGCCATCTTTGTGTGCGAATTAAATTTAAAGCACAATTTATCAGACTGGATATCAACAGTCATCTCAGACCCTGAAGATCTTGATTTTTTTTGAAGGATGACTGACATCAGGGCTAAAATACTCAGGGCTCCAGCCCCGATTGGTCGGACCTAACAGCGTCCATGTGTTGTACCATATATATATATTCTACCATATATTTTATGATGTAATTAGCCATTTTATTGGAATCCAGAGGTAATATGAGACACATTTCTGTACAAAAAAATGCAATAAGTGTTCCATAATGTTGAAAATTGAGATGAGATGAAAAAAAAATCATCCGTGTCTTAATGTGGAGGATGTTGAGTTCACAGATAAAATCTGATTCTTATCCGACATAAAAACTGGTCTGTGGTCAAAAATCTGCTTCACAGGATATGTAAACACACACGCGTCTGTGTTCGAGATACACAGACAGTAAAGAGAAGATGTAATCAGCGAGAGAGCAAAAGCTCAGTGGTATACCGATTCGCTGAAGTCTTAGTCTGTGTCACTGATCGGACAGATTATCGTCGGCCGCAAGATTACTGGCACTTTCTAACAGTGGCTACAAGATACTCTCAGAGTCTTTGAAGAATTTCTCCCTGGTTTTGAAGCTTCATGGAATTTAAGAATACTGAGCTTCCAGTGCAATATCAATTAATGCTATAATATGCGCAAAGAATTAATTAGGCGACAAAATCCCAGGTAATTTTAGCATCAGTAGTCTTCTCTTAAGGCTTCTTCTTAGAAAAATAGAGCCTGTTTCTCTATGCTGCCCTCTAGTGGTGCATTTTTTCCTGCTCTGTGGTCCTTTAAGTCCAGTGGGAAAGACTTAATTGAGAGGGCCCCTCTGACTGGGATTGGCAACAGACCTCCATAGCAACAGCCCTGAGGACACATCACACCTGTGACGGAGCTTTGGTGAGCAAGGGGGTGCAGGCCGGGGTATAGGAGTCACTGTCCAAATTCAACAGGGGCTGCAGCTTGCAGGATTCCAGACTCTCATCCACTGCGGCCTTCAGACAGGGGCCAGTCGAGGGCGAGGGGACCTCAACATACTGCAAGACACAGCGGGTAAGTGCCGACTGGCAGGCAGGAGACACATAAGGGTCGTCTTTTCCACAGAGATGGTTGACGGCCAGCCCGTCTGGCAGGGGAAAGCCTGAAGGACCGATGATAAAGGGGAGCGCCAAACATGCAAGAGGCGTGTCTTTGCTCGGCCCATTGCGGCGCTGTCTTCCGCGATCTGGGGCCGACTCCCACCCCTGTTCAGCGATGCATTGGTATAGTCCCATGTCATCTGCAGACATCAGCCACATTGGCTGGCTGTGGTGATCTGACAAACTGAGAGAAGGATGGGGGGGGGGGGGGGGTTAGTAAATCAAGTCCATTAAGTGGCATTAAGGTTTTTCTAAATAAAACCTGGCTCAAGTTTCCCATTAATCATCTTTTTATTTAAGCAAATACATTTCTGAAGCATGTTGTTGATATACACTATGCTGGAATTCAGATGATGTTGGCAGATTAAGATAAAATAAAATCCTGGTACATTTTTTTTTCTTTTTTCATTCATCCATCCATCCATCCATCCATCCACCCACCACTTATCCAACACAGGGGACCCAGGAGCTGATTCCAGGAAACACAAGGTAAGGAAACACCGTGGGAGGGATGCCAGTCCAGTGCAGGACACGCACACGCACACGCACACGCACATGCACAGGCACACACACACACAGATTTATAATTATATTTGTGGGGACTCTTAGACATAAGTAACCAAACAAAATACGAGACTTTTGGCATTTTTAGCCTTTTGATTCCATTCAGAGATCTGCGTGGGGACCTGAAAAATGGTCCCCACAACGTCAAAATAATAGGTTTTTATCACATAGTGGGGGACATGTGGATGCGGGTAGAAATCTGCCCAGCGTTGGGAGAACCTGCGAGCACCACACACGCGGAGGAGGCTGGGATTGGGACTCCTACATTTGGAGAGACAGTACGACTCATGTTGACACGCAAATCCTTGCTCTTTTTTAAACGCATGATTCCAGTATTGTCTCCAAGCCCCGCCCACTGCTTCCTCTTTGCCAAGCGAGACACTTACTCGAGGCAGGCTGGGGGTGTCTGGGCGTTTTCCAGCATTTCCACAGTGCTGACGGGGGCCTGGTCCTGTTCCCTGTACACAGCCAGCCAGCTCGCGGGAAACCCCTGTGGGAAGATGAGGCGTTAGCACGTCCGCCTCTCCCTGACACATCACGCTCAACAAGGTCTTCATGCCTTATCTGACGACTGCAGGGCCTTGTCTGGGAAGCTTAATTCGCACCGAAGTGGCTCTGGAGGTGAAGAGTGAGAGTAGGAACAAAAAGAAAGAAAAACAGGAAGAAAAAGAGGAGGAGAGAGAGGAAGTGAAAACCGTGGAGCTCACGCTGCGGTCCCCATTGCAGCAAACGGCGCAACATCCGCCTTACTTAGGAAGCGAGCGTCTTCCACGAATCAAAGGTGGCCCATGGCCCCGAAGATGGGCAAAAACTGACCAATTTACCAGTCAACCCATCACAAGTAAGACTAACCTAATCCCAGGGCAAACAACTTTATGAACAGAAATTGAGCCCCAACATGAAGATTACGAAGGAAAAATGGGTTCAAAGTATATTTCCATTTAAACGGTCCTCTGTCCCCAGAGGGTGCTATACTATCACGGAATGACGTGCCCAATGCTGGGAATAAGGGCGTGTAAATGGGGAAAGGGAACACCAGCTCTGTCCCGCGATGGTCTCTCTGGTACACAGCAAGGGACTGTAATGAAAGTGATTTACGGCTTGTTCCCCTCTAAGGCCGAGTGGACATTATTAAACTAATATCGCTCTGCATAGTTTCACTTTTCAAATTATATTCAATGCTATTCTCTTGGGGAAAAGTGCCGCGCGAGATCAACGATATCGAAGGGACCCCGGCGAAGTGAGTAGCCGATAGACAGGCGATGACATAAGAGACGAGGGAAGGTAAATAGGGAAAAAATGATAGAAGAACTTGCCATGTTCAACACTTTGCTCTTCAAAGGTGACGGGATGGATTTAAACCACGACTGAATGCTCCTGAATGAGGTCCAGAAAAAGAAAAGAGTTATCAGTGACAGAAGCCTGATTCCAGTTAAGTGCAAAGCCAGCACTGTAAGTAAGGAGAGTGAGACCTGGAACAGGGTGGGAGACCATAGAGAAGGATGAGGATGAATATGATCAGGCAGGCCCCAGGGACGAAGTACACCAGGATGCTGACGGCTGACGGAAAAGCAGAGAATACACACAAAGACGTCTGATCATACAGGAACATCCTTTGATGTGAAGTCTGCTCTTGGCATCATCAAAAAGAAAACAAGCACAAGCAAGTGAATCACCTAAGGGGCACAAAATGGCCACGACTGGTGGTTTGGGTTGTACTGCAAGCACAGAGCTGCCGAGAATGTGTGTGACTCATTGGCCAGATTTCCTTTACATTTCCCCCAACCCTCATTTGTTCCAGGAATGACTAATGTTACAGCAAAGACCCTACACACCACTGTCTACATTTTGATTCAATTTTTAAGATTAATATTTTAAACTATTGTTTTGTATGCAGCATTGAAGAGATTTAATTCTCTTCCAGTCCCAATAAAAAAGGTTATCATCATTACTGCAAAGAGGACATTCAGACATAATAGTGAGTAACCATAGATATTTAGGCTTCACCCAATGGATGAAGGGAACATTACCTAGGGGTGTGGTCCACTCTGCTGGCTCTGACCAATCAGAAGGGATTCCTCTGTATTCACTAGGGCCAATCATGGCCCTCACTTGGGCAATGTAGCGTGACCCACTCCAGAGAGACGCCTGACTGATGTCTGAATAGGTGACAGATGAATTGTAGCAGTCTCGCTCTTTCTGGACAGATGGAAAAGTTCAGAGACAGACCACAAAGGTTTTCAGTCTGACATAATCACTATGAGGACAGTGATGATTAAGGCAACTAAGAACAAATGGTAACACTTTGCATAAACTGTACTTTCATAATACCTTTATAATGCATTCATAGAGCATTCATTGCACATTCATAATGCATGTACAGAATATTCATAAGCATGTAACTATACCTTAACACCCTAACATACCTTAACAGCTTTAATATAAATGATTAACAATCATTAAATGATAATAACAAACACTATAATAGAATGATGTTTGTTACAGACAGACAGCAAGTAGTTTAACTGAGTGCCATATACACAAACTACATGAATTATCCAACACTTCTATCCAAAGCAACATATACTTTGTTGAGATGGTGGGGTCAGGCGGTCCCTGTAATCACTCTGCTGACTACAGGATTTGAACTGGTGACTTTGAGATTATGGGCACAGTGGCCTAACCCGCAGAGTCAGACATCATTTTAACAGAAAATGAGAGTGACAATGGGACCAAAGGGGACAAAGTGACTCATTAATTTAAAGACTAACAGAGATTAAGACTGACTGACTGACTGAGAGACAGACAGAGACTAAGGGTGTTTCTCAATACCTAGAACGCAAAGATCGCACCTGTGGTCTTGGCAAAAACCTTGCTAACCTGCCTCCCAAGAATGAACTCGGGGTGCAATGAATCACAGGAGTGGTCTCGTTTGGCGGAGATGCAACCAGTGCATCCTGGATATTTGGGGCGGGGCAATAATGACATCCAGGGATTTTTATCATTCTCTGTACTTCTGTTCTTGAGTATTGGAACTGGTCTTCAGCAATGGAAGATGACATCAGACAGGTACACGAGAATACAAGTACGGTCAAGTATGCATATTGAGAAATATCCTAAGACTGGCTGACTGATTCACAAAGAATGGCAGAGACTAAGACTGGTTGACTGAGACAACGTGACTGGCAAAGACTAAGACTGACTGATTCACAGAGACTGACAGAGACTATTACTGACTGAGACATACATAAAGACCGACAGACACACACGCTGTCATAGACAGACTGACAGACTCTCACCGGTGTTTCGATGCACCAGTAGCATATCTCATAAATGACTGGCACCAACTCTGTCTTTGATGGGGTCCAACTTAACTTCCAGTGTCCGTCTTTCTCTTTAACCTGCACAGGGTCGGGGCGGGGGAGCCAGACTGGTGGGGGGTGGGGGGTGGGGTATAGGCAAAATGTTAAATGAAGTACATCCAAGTTTCTCAAAAACATAGAGCTATTAAAAAGTGCTCCCTGAATCTGCTAGGGTATCCATGCCCCTCTGGTGCCCCTGAATCTGGCTCTCAACATTTCCACTTTGTTCAAGGGTACAACACAAATTTCCATCACAGGATTTGAGCAAGCCAAATCCTGTAGCCATCTTCCCACCCTAGATTTTCTATCCATCTAGCTACCTGTTATCGAGTTTGATGGCTGCTGCTTCATCACAGATAAACTAACCAATCACCAATCACTGCCTGACCATCTATCCAAACACAGGCATGGGCACTGCAGTGCTACTAATCAAGGGCACCAATAAAAGGACACAGTTCCCTGGAGAATGGGAGGACTCAAAAGAGGAGCCCACTCACTGTGTTCGGCCACAGGGAACGACCTGTAGATGTAGGTGGGGGTGAGGTTCAACAGGAGCACACTGTGCTGTGAGGCCAGGAGGAAGGAGCAGCTGAACTGCAATGCTGGCTCATCGGGTTTAACACTGACCTCGGAGTCACCACAGAGCTCGTTCCTGAGATGGGGGGGAAAGAGAAAGAAAGAGAGAGCAGGTGAGGGAAAAGAGGAGGCGAGAAGAACACGGATGGAGAGATCGCACCATGGGGCAGACAGGTGGAGAGGTGGTAATAAGGCGAGGGAATAGGGGACGTGGTCAAGAAGGAAAGACACAGGGAAGACAGAAGAACAGGGAGGAAAACAGACAACACAAGGAGCTGGGGGATGTCATCCCAACGGGTTGGAGGGTCGCACTGTCATCCTAAGTACCAACCAAAACAGCCGAAAGCTCCCCGTCACGAGCCAATGAGCCAAATCCCAGGCCAGGAGCTTGGGGCTCCACAGCCAGCCCACAGAGCAAGAGGGACAAAGCAGTGATGTGAGGGCATTCATCAGCCCTGCAGTGGAACACTGACTGTTACTATACCAGTGTTTCCCAATCCGGTCCTCAGGGACTTGCAAACAGTCCACGTTTTTGCTCCCTCCCAGCTCCCGGTCTGCATTACGCAGAATGGTGGAGGCCTTAAATAAGCAGAAAGTTGTCCGCAACAGCAGCAGTTCTGGCTGGTGGACTCTCGCTTCCTCTGGCTATTGAGGAACTTGTCCTCCCATCCAGCAAAAAAGCCACAATTGATCATGGTAAGAAATGTGGAAGTGCTCGTCTCCGGAGTGACAAACTCAGCATTTCTAACTTTAACAATCGAAACAAACATTTAAACAAGTGGTTTTATCTCTCTTTTGCCTTTTGTATTGAGGCTTTTTCTTATCCAGACCTGTGTGTTTTTGGCTGCAGATCGGAAACCTGGGCAAAGCAGGGATCCGGGGTCACTTTACAGGGGGAAGCAAGCGGACGTCACACTGACCCGATGGAGGTTCATTGTGCAACCTTACAATGGCGACATTTACCATTTACCATTAAAAAAGGAATTTAGATAAATGTTGAGAAGCTGCGTGAGTTGAAGCATGTTGAAGATCCTTTCGGATGGCGAGAATGCCATCAAAAAGCCGTCGGGCCATGAAGCAGCACATCTGGCAAAGCGGCTCTGACTCATGGAGCCCTTAGTCTCTCTAGCGTGCTTTGACCCGTCTGTCACAGACGCAGAGAAAATGGGCATGGTCCAAAAATGTGAGTGAAAATGAAGGAACTGATGAACCGTCTCACAGACTGGATGCTGAATGACACAAAGAAATCACTGTGCTCATTTGTCACCAGCAACACAAAGAAATTCCTCCAAATTCGAGGACTTAATGGTTCATTTCTGACATCATCTCCTGCTACATGGAAAGGCGATCAACATTACAAAGCTGCCCAAGGAACTGTTACCCTGACATTCACCAATAACAGTGCAGAAAGTGGCATGAAATTGATCCAGGAAAGACGAGGAACAGAAGCAGGTCCTGTTCCAAGTCGTACAGAAACTTTGGCATCAGTGTCCTGATCCTAGCAAGAATGCTGGAAAAAGACTGGGCTGTCAGATGGAAGAGGCCTACCTGAATGACATGCTGACAAGTTTATTTGCTAATACTCCATTAATTATGCGTTGAGCTTCACTGATAATTGACAGTCTTTGCTGAAGCCTGGGCGTGTAGTTTGTTGGGTTATGAAGACTATGCTGTATATTGACTAATGTCTATCAGGAAAAACTGAACTGCAACATTTTTTTATTAATTATTTTGGACATTCTGTTGTTAATTTATTTTGCATATTTAATTAATTTCATGTGGTTGCTGTGACAATTATTTCGACTAAATAATATGCATGACTGACTGATTGTTTCCACACCGCGAATATCACCTGTAATGATGAAAGCTTCAGGTAGTCTGTGTAGCCCCTAAATATTACACAATTTAGTTAATTTTTCCATCTTTTTGTCTTACAAATGGGGGGTGAGAATGCAGCCATCTCTGGCATCATTTTCAAGAAAAAGTTTTTGTGCCAACCTAATGCACACACACAAGCACGTGCACACACACTCACACACACACACACACACACACACACACACACGGGTCTGTAATTATATTTTTGTGGGGACTCTCTGTTCATTTCTGTGGGGAAAACTCGAATCACAACATGATGACCTTAATCGATACCCAGCCCTAACCAAACAATATATGAGACTTTTGGCATTTTTAGTTTTTTGATTTGTAATATAAACCTAATCCACACACACACACACACAGATTAGGTATCTATATCTCTCCCCACTCTCTCTCTCTCTCTCTCTCGCTTTAAATCCCAAACTTCATAAGGCAGACTCACTTGGCCATGCCGCGGTACCGGAGCCTGTAGGTGACAAACTGTGCCAGCTCCCTGCTCAGGTCCCAGCTGCAGAGCACCTTCAGCTCCCCGTCAGAGAGGCACTGCAGGTTAGTGGGACCTGGTAACATGGCTGGCAGAGGCGAAGAAAAGAGACCCAGCATGTTACCTCTATAACCAGACACTCTCACTAAACCGTGTAACAGTCTAAACTGAAAATCTTAAAGGTATCTAAAAAATTGACACTGGTAGGTAAAACTGTTATTCCATATAAAGGAAAAGTTTTAATTTCTTTCTGTTTTTTTCCCACAATACTTTTCAGACCTATACATAAAGCTCCTGGAAAAAGCTAAGAGACCACTCCAATTTTTTTAAATCTGAATTTTAAAATTGTGGTTAAATCCTCATTCTGCTGGCTAAAGGATACGCAGAGCAGCAGTTTGCTTCCAGGTTCAAAGGTTCTAAGACAGCAGTACAGAAGAATAAGGTGAAGAAAGAGACATTGGCAATGACCAAAAAACGAGCCAGGCAGAGGGTAGAAGTGACTTTCTAATGGCAGAGATGACTGTCAGCTTATCCATCAGTGCCTCATGAATTGAAGGATGACCTCAAGTGACCTTCAAAAGGAATGGGAAGCATTAAGTGGTGTGAAGTGCACTGCTAGGACTACAAGAAGCCCTTAAAGACCCATAAAGCAGGAAGAAGCCCTTCACCAACGAGAAGAGTGAAAAGTGAGGCTGCAGTTTGCAAAAAAAAAAAAATATTTTACACAGACGCATTCACATAAACTGAGAAATAAGTGAAATTAAAAATGTTACTGTGGTCTCTTAAAATTTTTCCAGAGCTGTAAATACACACAGATGTTTTCAGTATCTCCCATAGTGCTTCCCCCACAATTCTGTAATCACTTACCGTCTTTAGTCTTCCACTGCACCAGGGGGCTCCAGTCACGTCGGGCTCCCCTTTCTACCTGGGACCTTACTCTGGCCTCATACCAAGAGCCATTCACCAAAGAATCTGCCAAGTAGTTGCACAGGAGAACCGAGTTTTTGTGCTTGCAGATCAAGCCTTTGCAGATTACTTGTTCTAATCTGAATAATAGTTTCTGGCATAAAACTGTCTTGAAGTCTCTAGAAGTCTTTGGATAATATAACCTATGAATGACTATCCTCCACCGTGGGACTGACCTTGTCGGGACAGGTTGAACACCCTGGACAGCAGGTGTACATGTGGCGTCCTGAAGAGGAATCCATCATTCTCTCCCATGGTAAACATGGTGGTGTTGTATTGGCAGTGGAAGGTGGTCCAGCCACCCGGAAGGTGGACGGAGGGTCGGTATGGCAGGCATGGGGACTCTCTGGAGAGTGGGAGAGAGAAATCAAGATTTAATCTTCTACTTATAAGTACCACAGCATGTCCGGCTGAAGAGCTGGTAGCAGCCTGTCCTATCACCCTTCCTCTTCACCCTCTACACTGATTTCAGGTACAGGTCTCAGTCATGTCACCTGCAGAAATACTCTGATGACTGTGGCCTGTGTCAGGGATGGACCAGAGGATGAATACAGGAGTGTGGTGGACAGCTTTGTTGAGTGGTGTGAGCTGAACCATTTACAGCTTAACATCACAAAGACAAAGGAACTGGTTGTAGCTCCTCCTCCCACCCCTGTAACCATCAGAGGAACGGATCTTGAGGTGGTTGAGGAGTACAGGTACCTGGGGGTTCACATAGACAGTAAACTGCTCTGGTCCAAGAACACTGACACTGTTGTCAAGAAAGGGCAGGGCTGGTATTACTTATTGAGGAGACTCAGGTCCTTCAGTGTCTGTAGTAAAATGCTGACTATGTTCTATCACTCTGTAGTAGAGAGTGTGGTGTTTTCTGCAGCTGTGTGCTGGGGCAGAGCGGTGAAGACAGCTGATGCCAACAGGCTGAACAAGCTGATTATAAAGGCTGGTTCTGTCCTGGGTGTCAGACTGGAGAACCTGGCAGAGGTGTCTGAGAGGAGAATGCTGAAAAAGCTTCTCAGTATCATGGAGAACCCCTCTCACCCCATACACGCCTCCATCATGGGTCATTAGAACACGCAGCAAAACTCACTGCCTGCAAATGCAGAACCAAACGCCTCAGGAAATCCTTTCTACCCGTGGCAATAAGAGTGTATAACTCTTCCCCTTTCTGTAGGTGATCTTCTTCACCTTTTTCAGCATGTGTCACCGGTATGCCATTCAATGTTTGTTTTCATCCCCTCATCACAAGCTGCTATCATCTTATTCACGGTACAAACACTAAGTCACTTTTCATAACCACTTGCACTAATTATGTGCTATTTTATTATATCTGTTACAGTTATTTGTTACTTTCTTAGATTTATTTTGTTATTCTGTTTTGCACTATTACTACTGTTCTTTTTAAGCTCTTTACCGTCTCATCTTTAATCCTCTTGTTGCACTGAGCATGTTTAAGACAAAAGAATTAGGATAAATAAAGTTCTTATCTTATCTTATCAGGTTATCTCAGCTACTTGGTACCAGCAGCCCCTCTCCTCCGCGATCAGCTCCACCATTTCTCTATACCTGTATTTCTTGGTGTCCAGGTGATGCAGCAACACAGGAGACCGTGCCTGAGATTTCTCCGTCCAGCTGCAGCGTATGTAGGAGAAGTAGTCGTTGTAGCACTGCAGCGACTCCAGCAATGCGGATTCTGCAGGACAGAGACGGACAGCGATCGGCTCTATGCCTCACAAATCTCCGACGCGGCTCTAGCACAGCGTCGCCCTGGAATGGACAGCGACTCTTACTGTGATACGCGGAGCTCCCGTAGGCTCGGTACATGTGGGGTCCCGGGGTCGATGCCTTGGCTGGAGGAAGGAAAACACCCAGGCACCAAATATGGCATACCCAGGCCAGGAGCATGGCGGGTTGGGGAGATTTGGCAACGGGCAAGAGCTTTAAAGGAGAGAATTCTTCCAGTTAGCAAGGTTTGTGAGTCACGGAAAAACATAAATGCCAAATCATCTTACCGTGACGGTAATTCACAGTAAAAATGTCAAATAAAAGGCACAGAGATGCACATAAGTACCCGAAGTTCACCGCGACCCTTTATAAATTTTAATTTTAATAAGCTTAATAGTGAAGATCGACATCAGTAGCCAAACAACCACCCTTAATGATAAACACAATTTCACTACATTTTCTCCACACACAGTTTAAAATAACTACACTTTTACGTTTATAAAACTTATATATTCCACCACAGCAATTATAAGACACAGCAGGAAGGATACACACATCAACACGGATGAAACAATAAAATACCCTTTTAAACATTTCACTTATCTTCGTTTTTCTCTCTGGGCTTCACGCTGCACTTAATTTATGAATCCAATCATTTCTCCAAGGCACATTAATCTTTGCTTAGGCTTATACAACATTCCGATAATATTCAACCATTTTATAAAGGAGACCATACCATATATATTCAGTATGCGGTGTCCTGCTTGCTGGTTCCTTCCAAGATTGTTCAGAGTATTTCAATGTACTTTACATGATATTATTTTGTAATGAAACATCTACGTGCCACGTTTAACGTACAGTCACTCAGTTAATGCCCCTCGAAAACTAAATTACGGCAGTTTTTCCACTTTCGATTAGAAAACAGTGTATGTATTATTAAAACGCCCCTAGTGTTTAGCGGATTAAATGTAGTCTATAGCCCTGTTTATAAATAATAATAAAAAAAACTCGCTCAGATCAGCTTCGGAGCTTCTCAAACTTCCCGCAGCCGAAAAGCGCTTTAGAAAAACAAGAAGAGGAAAAAGGAAATGCAGCGCGCGCCGGTCCCTCGCTGCGGGATTTCCACGCTGGACAGGAGCGGCATGTAAGGCTGGGACCTCGATCACTATCGGGAACAAAAGAAAAATGCACGAAAACATTAGGAAGACTGCGGATGCGGATCAGAAATGAAGCGCTAAAACTCCGTGTGATACTGCCATTACAAGAATCCTAAGTTCGAAAGTAAATTATAAAAACATGCATTTAACTCTAATACTGCAAAAATCAGTTGTCTTTCATGTTACTGTAGCCCAATTATCCTTTAAAGTGTTTAATTGCTTGTCTGCAAACGTCTGCGTAAACAAAAACGTGATGGAAAACAAAACAGATTCTTTACGCAGTTGATTTACTGCTGCCATAGTAAAACATTTACTAACTGGATGGTCAAGTTAAAGTATTACATTAAAATAGTCGGTACACTCAGTGACGGGTGAGCCTTTCATTGCCACCTGATACACGAACATAAACTAGGCCTACCTGTTGATATTAATCACGGTATCAAGCTGATCTTTTACGCCTTTTATGTTTCCTTATGCCATTTATCTTGATGATAGTCTACAGAGTCTGAGATACATGCGTCTGAGTTTGGCTGATCGAAGTAATCCATCCATCCATCCATTGTCCAACCCGCTTATCCTACTGGGTCGCGGGGGGTCCGGAGCCTATCCCGGAAACAACGGGCACAAGGCAGGGAACAACCCTGGATGGGGGGCCGGCCCATCGCAGGGCACACTCACACACCAGTCACCATGCAGTAATTTCTGAGTCATTTGGTGTTTAGTTTCAGTACCGCTTACATGCTGCCGAAATCGCAAGGCAAATTACCTACAGCGAATTTAAAAACCATTTTCGACTTTCAATTATAGAAGCCCGTGATTTACAGGATATAGTTTGTAATAGTCCATAATAACAGGCCCCTGAACTATCCATCTTCCAACTGCTTATTCGGCTGGAGGGTACGCCCTTTACAAGCCAAATGCACTGACTTTAGTTTTATATAGTATAACTTTTTATAGGATAGTCCAGTAAAAAATAAGTAAATAAAAAATGAAATTATGAGAGACAGTTGCATAGTACGTTGAGCTTCATCTTGAATTTATTTCCGAAAACGCACTTTTTCGTCACCGTCTTTTGCGTAGCTAAAAATGCACACACACGTAATGGGTGATGTAGACACACCAGTCCATATAAAGCTGTGGTTTTCGTTTAGCTGGAGGGAACCAAATGGGTGGAAATGGAAATTTTTGTGTTGCATCGAAATAAGCCCTGACGGTGGCTGAACATTAAACGAACTGCAAGGCAGCGTCAAATGAGATATATGCAAATTAAAATGCCTGTTAATGTCAACTAATGAAAGTGCTCTGTGCGGAATATAATAGCATACACAATGAAAACATTAACACCTGTTTATCAGAGTTCATTTTGCGAATAGTAAAGATATCTCAGCTGGTTTCACTTCTGCTACAGTGTAGATAAGCAAAGCCGCGTGCTTCGAGCACAGTGTGCGCGGTGACCGGTGCGTTTCGAAATTCACTGTCATTGCTCGACTGTGCATAGGTGCAGGGGCGCCGTAAGGGGGAGGAAAGCTAGGATGATTCCAAGGGCCCCTGAGTGACAGGGGCCCTAAAAAATTAGGAAAATAACTGGATTGGTTTGGACTGGGGGGCCTAATATGATATGCTTTCATGGGGCCCAAAATCTCTAGCAACCCCCTGCATAGGTGTGTCTTCATTGCTGGGATTACTGACTGTAAACTAACATGGCGCCCCCCTGGTTGCTGAGCAGCAACGTCTCAAAGGAACCCCCTGTGATTACAGATTAGCTGGCCATTCAGAATGGCCATCCATCCATCAGTTGCTTATATAGTACAGTATCTTAGGGACCCTTTCCCAGCAAATACAACAAAAGGGAGGGGGTATGTGAAACAGGATGCCAGTCCATCACCCAGAGGACAATGTGCCTAATTGCATATCTTTGGACTGACAGAAACTTGCATAGGACTTCACAAAAAACAGAAGAGGGAAAGGATTAAAACTAGCGACAGACAAATTAATCTTCCGGAACCATTTGCTGTATTTTTTGGCTCCACTAGATGGCGCTCTTGGTTTGCTTTGGGGCATACTTTGAGCCCATTTGTTTTGAAGAGAGAGCACCATCTAGTGGGATCAGAAAATACAGCAAGTGGTTCACGAAGCTTCACTTGGCCATCACTAATTAAAACCCTCCCCCAGTCCTCAATCCTGGGGATGTGCAGCAACAGTGCTACCCACCGAACAACTGAACAAAGTTCCTGTTTTATTTCTATGGATTCCAATACCTTTGTATCTACTCTAGAGGAGGTTTAAACATGTTGGAGCAGGAACCTGCCCTACACAGAATCAACTCCATTTTGCAGATTCTCTGGTAACTTCTACACGGCTCGACTGGCACGCATCACCATGTAACTTGTTTTTAGTACAATAACCGGGATGGTACACCTAGAGGGAATTCAGGTGTGCATCACACCAAGCCACCAATCCTTCACATCACAGCAGGGATTTGACCGTTCAGCCCTTCTGCGGATGACATCTTCACCTCCCACTTTACAATATAGACAATATTCTTTTGAATTAACTTGACTGTAAAAATAGTTTTTTGCCGTGAAATACGTTAGAAAACTTGACATCTGGGTTTGATGAGCAGACCTTGGCAGCCTTTGTTGACTGTCAAGGGTAGAGTAGGAAAGACTCAACAGGAACACGGCCATTAACGAGTCTGCCGGACACCAAGTTAATTAACGTCTGGCGACGATTTAGCTGTGCGGGGTTTGTGGAATTAACAAAACGCTACTGTGGAGTTTTCTGTACTCTTTTTGGAAAAAAACCCAGACAATTGCTACCATAACCAGTTATAAGACCTAACAACTACAAATACATAAGAAGAGAGTTAAAGTATATATAGCATGTTTTTTGTCAATTGGATTTGGTCAATTGTGTCCACGTGTTTTCGCAGTTATGTGCCTAAATAAGGTCCTGATTGTTAGTGTGTTCAAAAGGTGTGTATTGGTCCTGAGAGTAGTGGATAATGGTAAGCTTTGGCTGGTCTGTAGGGGAAACAATTCAGTTTGAGAATATGATTAGAACAAGGAAAGTGGTTTAACAACTTTTATGATGGTGTTTAGAAACATTGAAGGCTTCCTTCAGAAGTGTTGTAGCATTTAAATGTGTGTTTCATGTAATGCCAAAGCTCTTTGCTTCTTTTTTCCATCCTTTGTTTAGGTTGGGTTCTAGGATCAATCTTCCAGGTGGGAACTTGTACTGTATGTCCAAAGGAACTTATTACCCATGCAAATGGGTCAGAGCTTCTATACTTTCTACTGGAAGTTGTATTCAAACAACCCTGCAGATATTCTACCAAATGTGATAGTGTACAACCAGCTGTAAATATCCTCATTCAAACCAGTTTTTTTAGTCCACCCCGCAGAATAAGCTGTTTCCGGTAACTTCGCTATACTTACGTATACAGTAGTAACAACCTGCAGCTATTTCAAGAATAAAGTCTAACAGTTAAAACTAAAAAATATCACAACAATACTATCTATCTATCTGTCGTCTTTATTTATTCAGCACTGTACTTTGGTGAATTTTCGTTCTTTTAAATGTGTTGTATACATTTTGATTTGATGGGGCACATATGATATGCGGAATTGAACTTGGTACCATCGCAGTGATCCAGTGTTCTGAAACAGGGCTGTTTGACTCTTGCTAAACATAATTGAACAGAAGTGCTCTTGAGGTTCGTTTTTACCGGGGCCGTTTTTGTATGAAGGTGTTGTTGTAACCTTTTACCTTGTGAAGTTGCATTTAATTATTATACATTTCTCGGTTAGGCACCATGGGAAAATATGCGGTAAATGACCTTAAATGAACAAACGTGTGGGACTGTCACTGCGAGTGGAACAGGTGCCAGAAAGACCTTTGATGTCGTGCCGCTACTTGACTTCCTGTGTGTTCATCACCGCCTGAGAAAAATCTCTTTTAAAAAAGAACCTTTTTTTTTTACTTAAATATTGTTAAAATGACTGCAAAGGTAAAACAAGAATAATTAAATAACTCTTGAGGACTAGACCCAGTTTAGGGACCTAGAACTGTAAATGGTCTGTGTGGCACTGTGGTGTCACATTGCACAGACATCAAACATGCTGTACGGACAGACGATCTGTAACTTTCCACTGTAACTCAGTTCATACGTCAAACACAAATATGTCCCATAAGAAACATACACTGTCAACATGCTGCTGAGCCCCTTAAAACACCCCCACTGGCTGGCAGTGTGGGGGAAATCCATACAAACCGCAGAAATCCCCCCCCAGTAGGCAATAACAATGTCGGCAATCTCTGATTGGCCCTCTGCCCTTACCCCACTATTTTCAAAGACTGGTGTAGATGAACCGGAAGCTCATGTTTGACTAATAATTAACTGGGGAATTTAAGTCATTTTACTGAAAGACAACTTTACACGAATGATTCCATAACAGATAAATGTCACAAAGCCTGTTTTGATTCAGCACGACATAAGAAGTGAAACAGGGAACGGCATATAAGACAGATTTAACATGCATCAGTTGCATAACAATGAGCTAAAACTCCAGGTTTGACTAAAGATACTTTATTTAAACAGTAACAGTGGGCTATGTGTAATATTTAAGCACAGACAGCATGACTTTATTTCTTTAATGTTCCAATATTCAGTTTTTCAGGAAACTGTATTTGTGTACAGTACTTATTAATTAGCTTCAAAAACCATTACTTGTTTTCATTGTGCGTTGGCAATTTTACCAGGAGTGAAATTGCACCCCCTAGTCGTCAGATGAAAATGCTTTTTGAACACATTAAGTTCAATAAAATGAAATTATATTTGAAAATATGGCTTGTGTTAGTCATATTAACGTCTAGTAATAATTTTCTGTAAATGTATTTGCTAAGAAAGTCTTGGGACACGTTTAATTCTGTAATAATGTTGCAATAATGTTACTGGTTTCATAACAAAAGTCCATCGACAAGCAATTTTTAACGTTTCTGCACATGTCTCCTCACACGCATTTCCTTTTTATTAAGTGTCATAATGTTTCTGACTGACTCGTTCGGTTCTGTTCCTGCCAATCTTATGGAATAAGCGTCATCCAGCTAACTAGCCTCACAGCTGGTGACGTACGTAGCACGTTTGCGGCCCTCTCAGGCTAACGCCGCTTGGCTAATGCTACTAAATAAAACCATATGGTCACCAAGCTGCCCACGCCAGCTATCTGACACGTCTAACTAATTCACGATCAGGGAAGATTGCTGCTTGTTTATGTAGGTAACTAAATCTGCATGTTAGTTTCATCAGGAAACAGACCACCAATGACATATTAGTTAGCTGCAGGTAAATAAAATTAAAATAGAGTGGAAAAGCCTCTTTTTGGTTCATTCTGCTTTGCGTATATATGGTAACTGCTTCCTTTTACATACAGTCTCAATGTATTTATGAAGGTAAATGAACAGGTTCAACATCATTTTAATATATAACTGCTAAGTTGGGGCACTGATGGTGACTCCATTGCTTTTGCAGTTGCTCTGATATCGCAGTGACTGTCAATCATGCAGCGTTACTAAAGCTTCTCATTCGCCCTGGTTTCAAGCTTAGCCGCACATATCCGGGCACCGTCGCACGGGCCCGGTCACACGTACACGGCTATCGCACGCTCAGGGCTCCGTGTTGTACACGGAGAAATCCGAGGCCAGGCTGACGCGCAGCTCCCAGGGGTACTGGTTGACGGGCCGCTTCACCTCCGAGCCCCGCCGCCTGCCTTCCTGCACCATCAGTTCCACGTCCTCGTCGTCCAGGAGGCGCACCATGTCCCCGTCTGTGTCTCGGTAATTCAGGGCGATGTCCTCCAGCTTGAACAGCTCCCTGAAACAGGAGCGCAGTCTGACCTTCACTGCTCCGTTACACACATGTCCGGACAGCACCACCACACCGACCAGCACCGTTGCCGTGGTAATATGACGCCAGACACACACACACACACCGATTGCATGCATCCATCCATTTCCCATAGTCATGTATCCAGTGCAGGACTGCAGCAAGTCTGGAGTCTGTCCAGGGGAGACTCTGGACAAGATGCCAGCCCATTACACCAGTGTTTCCCAACCCAGTCCTCAGGAACCCTCAGACAGTCCACGTTTTATCTCCCTCCCAACTCCCAGCAAATCAGGAGCACCGAATACCTGTTGCGGGTGTGTTGGGAAAGAGGAGAAAGATAAAATGTGGACTGTCTGGGGCTCCCCAAAGACTGGATTAGGAAATTTTGCATTACACCGACACTAAGGGCAATTTAAAGACACACATTCACCTAACTAGCCTCTGGACTGCAGGAGGGGAAAATGAAACATCAAACAACATGAGCTGTGGTAACACTTCAAATTCAAGCTGCGGCGTTCTCTGAGCGTGACCGCAGCCAATCCCGCCGTCCTCTCAAGCATCTGCCAGCAGGTGAAATTAGCGCTCAGCACTCCTGCGTGGCACCATGCAATTAACAGTGTGATAAATAAGGCGGATTGGCAGGGCCGTGAATAGGAAGAGCGCCAACTGCTGGCTGCAGGAAGGTGCTGCATTCAGCTCATTTTGGGGGAGAAAAAATAAACCAAGCTGCTATAGAAATTAGCCAGAAAAAAATACGGCAACAAAATGTGAAGCAAAAAGGTGGAGGATTCTGGAAAGATCTTCGATGTTTTATCCAGTCTGAAATGTATGCAGAAGCGTTCCACAGCTCATGGGATAAAAAATATAAGTAATTTTAGCATAACGCAGCAGATCCCCCAAAAGATAGATGAGTTCAAAACTAATAAGGGAAAACTGGAAAAACAAAAAACGTACTGGCACTATAGTCAGGACAGTGAGCTGAATTTGGATATGCCCCGGTGCATTGTGGGTAAGACGCCCCTCACCCAGGACTTGGCGCCCTCCATACCTCATCCGCGTGAACAGCTCCCTGTAGGAGGGCCTGGCAGAGAGAGCCTCCTCAACACACAAGTCCCTGTGGTGTGACAGAGCGGCCCACAATCAACACCCATGAGCAAACCATCCAGGCAGCACGGCCTAGGCACCAGGCAGCACTGCACGCTCTGTTGAAGTTGCTCATACAAGGTCATGGCTGTCATGATATCATATAAATACTAGGGAAGAATAGGTTCTGTTATTTTTTTTGTATTTTTTGAGTTGCTTCTGTACATTGGAGAGCCTGTGTAATTCAACAAGGAGTTGTCAGCCAGCTTCTTCTTGTAACGTCGCTTAACTGTGCCACAGCCTCTCTCCTCTTACCTGGTTTCCACACCAGTGGGGAGATGAAGGAAGCAGCGCAGGCAGCTGTATGACCCTGCCGGGGGGCCCTTTTTGGTCCCTGAAGCATCTTCCTCACCCTCTGAATCGCTCTCTGGAAGGGGCTTGATAATCTTCACAAAGGATGCAGGAAAAATGCCCGTCTGGTTCCTGACGGTACCCTTGGGGGGGGAGGGGGGTATTCACACCTTAAGCCAAGGCATCGATCACCATATCTGAGGTTATGGGGGGGTCTAAGAAGGTACACCAACACAGCAAATACCGGCTCAGGTCCGATTCACATAGAAACAGAGATATAACCACAATGTCATCGGAAAAAACCAGGAATATCAGCACAGTAATGTTTCCGTCCAATAGGCATCTTCATTAATCTAGGAACCATAAAAATTATTCCTGAAAATGAAGTCAGAAGGGAAAGTAGTTTAGAAGCCTCGTCTTCGTCTTTTTCACTGCCATCTTTACTTTTTCTCATTCATCCCTCTTTTTATCGATCTGCTTCATCTTTCTCCTCCTCAGTCTATCTTCCTCTTCAATCCCTCATAACACTCCCTCTCTCCCTCTCTCTCTCTCCATCTGTGACTCTCCTCCTTCTGCCTTCATGTCCTGCAATCTCTCTCCCCTACATCACTGCATCCCTTCCCGGTGCCCCTCCCTCTCCCTCTCCCTCTCCCTCTCTCTCCCTCTCCCTCCCTCCATCTCTCCCTGTCTCTCCCCTTCAGCTCACCTCCAGCCAGTCAGCGTTGACTCTCCTGAGCAGAAAGATCACCTCGCCAGTGCGCAGGCTGAGCTCTAGCTGCCCGCTCCCGCTGAAGTCGAACACCACCTGGGACCAGCCACACGGACACAGGCACACAGTCAGGTGAGCTCTGTCCGCCGGCCGGAGGCTGTGGGGGGTGAAGCCCGTATGCGTGGAAGCAAAGTGTTGGAGAAAAGGGGGGAAGCGAGGAGCGATGATCTCGGGGATGAGGAGACCAAGACTGAGTAGCCAGTGGGAGGTCAGGAGAGAAGATCCGGACCGCGGTGGACGTGGGACACTGCGGACGTGAAGGAGGGATGGGAAAGAGAGAGAAAGAGAGGGAGGGATAGAGAGGCAGTATGGGACGGTGAACTGGATGAGGGGCGCAGAGTTTGGGTCCCCTAACACCAATAGCACCATAACCTGTATGCAGGACAGGTGAACCGCACAGGACGGAGCGCGAGATGGAGCGCGAGATGGAGCGCGAGATGCAGGTGTGTTGCTCAGATCTGCACCTTCTCATTTTCTGCGGGAGCGTGACGCAGCAGGCGGTGACGGACAGCCCTTCCGGGCTCAACGCCTGCGGGGGCTGGAGAATGGCGTGGCTGGACACAGGGTGGGGGGGGGGGGGGTGCAAGGAGTTGAGCGGTGTGTAAGTTTTTTGGTGGCGTAAGTTCTACATTTAGAAAAGAAGGATGTGGGGTATTTAGAAAGAGTGAAAAAAGACGAGCGCTGGAGGAGTAGATGAAGGAAAGTGAATAAGGGAGGTGAAGTCCAGTGAGCGTGTGATCTGGGTACCTGCGGCCGTCACCTTGACTTTACTGCAGTGTCACCGAGTCGGACACTGTCTGGGGGAGGGAAGGGGGCACAGGTACCGGTGCAGGGGACTGTCCCGGCAAGAGGCGGCTCGTTGTGTGGGGGCTTACAGGGGGCGAGGCGTGCATGTTCATCCATGCTGGTTAAGTGTGTTTTGGCAGACAGATGTGAGAAGCTTTTAAATGAGACGAAATGAAAGTTTATCACTAATGCTGAAAGGACAGTGCCCCCCCCCCTACCCCCACCCCTGCCCTGTTACCCTTGTTACAAAACAACAGTAACAGCACCACGTGAGTCTGAAACTTAAACTCAGACTAACTTTAAAATCCGCTTAAACGCCGCCTTGCGAACACTGGAGGCAGTAAGGCTGACGACGGGCTTGTCTGAAACCCGAAACCCGGCTCTTTTATTAGCTGACCCATTAATCCTAGCGCCAAGTGGCCCGTTTGTAAAATAACTCCAATTAGCGAGCCTCTAATTTCCCTCTGTACTGCGCCTTAATTAAACAGCAGGTCTGTCTCATCATAAAGGCGCGTGACCTGGTAATTGGTGCTGAAAGAGATGATTTTGGTGAGGGACAGAATTAGACTGTCAGCAGATATCAATTGATTAGCATAACTCTAACTCTATGTCAAAGCGAAGCTGCACAGAGACAGCACTGCGCATGCACATGCACGCACACGCACACGCACACGCACACGCACACAGACACACACACCATCCCCACACAGAGCGGAAAGAATTATCCTGATTTTGCTGGAAAGTCTGTGCCTCGTTTACATTCCTGTCTCTAGGGGGCAGCAGGGAGCACTAGGAGTTTCTGCTGTTTCGCCTTTGTGGAATCTATAACACTATGTTTTGGTAAATAGCCTGATGTACAAACTGATTAAAATAAAAAAAACTGCAAGCGTAAGCTCTTGATAGAAAAACTGCAAGTGTCAGGTTTAGATGAAGCCATATTCACAAAATAATATATAACAACTATAATAATAATGATAATGATAAATTCTTGTCATACGTGACATACATCTAGACCAAGGCATGCAAGGCTGGCCAGAACCCAGGGGCCTGTATCCTGAGGCTGGATTTCTTGTTTGGCTGGATAATTTATCAGATCTAAGGCAGTCTGTACTAAATGTAAGTGAACGAACATAAAGGCCATTTAAACTGGGGTAACTATATTCCACAAGTTATCTGGCTAAGCAAGAAATCCTGCTTTGTGATTCTGGCCCCTGGCCATAATCAGGTTTCCAGCACGCTGGCCTTGCACGGGTTTACAGAGCACTGGCCTTGCACGGGTTTACAGAGCACTGGGCTTGCACGGGTTTACAGAGCGCTGGCCTTGCACGGGTTTACAGAGCGCTGGCCTTGCACGGGTTTACAGAGCGCTGGCCTTGCACGGGATTATAGAACGCTGGCCTTGCATGGGATTTCAGAACCCTGGCCTTGAACAGGTTTACAGAACCCTGGCCTTGCATGGGTTTACAAAGCACTGGTCTTGCATGGGTTTTCAGAACCCTGGCCTTGCACATGTTTTCAGAACCCTGGCCTTGCACACGTTTACAGAACATTAGCCTTGCACGGGTTTACAAAGTGCTGACCTTGCACGGGTTTACAAAGCACTGGCCTTGCACAGGTTTCCTGAATGCTGGCCTTGCAGTCCCTGATCTGGGCTGGCGCCGGGACGTCTGCCTTTCCGCGGTTACCGCACATGCCGGCCGCAGACATAACGACGGGAGTGAAAACCGCCAACTTGAGGCGGACGGCGAGCTCCAGCTCAGTGATAAGAGCCGGCTCTGAAGGTGAGAGTGAGACTTCCCCTTAAGGCTGTAAATTGGGCAGGTGGTGTTCCTGCTTCCCAGGTCACGCCGGCATCAGTGCGGCAAATAGTGTCGTGTCTCCCAGCCTCCCAGCCAGCCATCGCTGTTCCGGCACCTGAAACCCTTGATCCATTTTTACTCTAAATTATAAGTAGGCAGCCCCGTGTCTGCAATACTTTATGCTTCCTTGTTACACAGACCTAGAAACTCTCTAGGAACGGTGGCTTGAAAGACATTAAGGGTGTTCTGTTTGCAGTATATACTAGACACCAGCAGGAATCCATTAAAAACCTCAAATTATGAGTGGTGTGTAGAATAGGTGACATTTATGGTATATTCATGGAGGTAGCTGTTTCCCGCGATATGCAGCCATCCACAGAACCATGCAGCAAAACCTGTGCGGCCTGTTGTTTCGCCAACAGCTGTTCTGGGCCATGACACGGTACACGAGATCCCCGGGGACAGCCAGGAAGAATCAGCCAATCTGAGACTCGCTTCTTACACCTAATTTCCCGTCTTTGAGAAAGATGGAGGAAAGTAGCTAAGCTTTAAAGTGGAGTTCAATAATCTATTTCGGGTGTTCGATCACGTTTTAAGGGCAGGTATTTTAAGCCGGGAGCAGAAGGGGAGGAAAAAAATAAAAGCCGGATTTATAAGAGTTTAGGGTGACTCTGGGTCACAGAACAGCAGTCAGTCAGGACTCCAATTAGAGTCGTCACCTAAATGAGGTCATTTACACACCGCAGGTCAGCTGGGATGTGCAAGAAAATTGGATTAAAGCTTTTTTTTTGTTCATTAACGTTTTTTTTAACAAAAGGGATGATGTGACCCATTTCAGAAACTCACTTTTCAATCTGCTGGGATGGATGGATATATATATAAATAAATAACTCCTGTTGCTTAGCAGAAACTTTTTAATCTATCAGGTGGATGCGTTTACCGGAGTAGATCAGGTTAAGCGTGTCTCTCACAGGTCCAACAGCAGAGCTGAGGCTGGGATGTGAGCCCATAACCCACCTGGTTGCCAGTTCACAGGCCTAACTGCATCACACCGTGCTGACCTTGACACTCACATCCACCAGTGATGGAGCCCAGTGACCCTCTGTGGTTCCTGGGGGCCGGGGGCTTGAAGCCAGCGAAGGTGGACCAACACCCCCCATTCACCCCTGCCGAGCACAGCCTCTCTGTCTGTGTTGTCATGGCCACTTCTGACCTCAGGAAGTCAATGCAAATCTGGTCTGGATCACTGAGCCCCCCCCCCGGCTACCACCACACATGGCTGTTTGGTGAGGTGATGGTTCAGAATGGGGCAGGTTCCTGGGAAGGTGGGAAATATTGTTTAGATCCGGAGTGTTGACCTGTATCCCGATCACATCTCCTCATCTGGCCAGTACAGACCTGCCACCCAACCTTCTGCCTTATGATGGCAATAAAAGATATTCTGGCAGCCCCCCCAGCACGACTGATTGTGTGGTCACCTAACCAAGCAGCCCCCCCCCAGACTGGCTGATTGTGTGGTCACCTGACCCAGCCATCGTCCCCAACAAAACCAGCCTGCCCCGTTCTGACGCATCTTTAGCTTGGAGAGCGGCTTGCAGTCGTTTGGACGGGGGTCCCGAGAGGGTTTGCCGAGTACCAACCAGATCCGGCACCAAAGCCACTAAGAGAAAAACATTTTCTTTTTTTCTGTTTGTTGGCCACTCTCCAAAAAACACACAGGAATTGCAGGTAGCCTCACAATATAAAGGATAGTTTGTACAAGTGCTGAGTGCGTCGTTCGACAGTGTCTGAAAATCAGATTGCAGAAGAGGAAGTAGATGCACTGAGGCAGGGAATGTGCTTAGATCTGTGTGTGTGTGTGTGTGTGTGTGTGTGTGGCTGTGCACAAGTGCTTTGCTTTTGTCATATGTGTACTGAGTGTCCATAAAATCTCTTTACAATTTCAAAAATGTATTACAAAGGCAAATGAAAACACAGGTATGTGGAAATTATTACAAAATGAGACGTATATATTGAATTTTTTTTGCCTCATTTAATACACCTCTATATGGGCACCATTACTTGCACAAAGCACATCAAGACGGTACTTGATTGCTTGCCATGTTCGCTGTAGCAAACCCTCATCAATGGGGGCACTGGCATCAGTGATCCTCTGCTTTAGATTAGCGATGTCCCGCACCTTTGTTTGCGATGTGATGAAAAACTTTGATAACCACTGAGTACATAGAACAAATATGATGAAGATATCTAATCAATTGCCTTTGTAATACATTTTTGAAATTGTAAAGAGACTGTAAGACACCCTGTATTTATCCAAAGCTGGATCATGTACAAAAGTGTTTCAGGTGAACGATACAGATGCAGCAGAACTCTGTTACTGTCAGCTGAGATACCAGCATTATCTGTAGAGACCCTTAACCGGCATGATATCTGCATTACAAACGGGATTATAACAGCTTTCAGGCCGCGTGTGTGTGTGTGTATGTATGGCAGCAGGCCCAGCCTGTCCGGGTCTGTTCTATATGTCGACTCGGCCCAGAGCCAGAGCGTTGGCCTGCTAATCTCAGTACAAGGTCAGACACCGTGGAAGGCCCCTCTATCTGGAACACACAACCACACACTCAGATCACCTGCATACCTGCGCGCATCCACACCCGCTACACATACCTGCGCTCACACCCATCTGCTCCCCGACACCCAATCACCAGGCGGACGAAGACGCACATAAAACTGACACACCGTGATACGTGCAGGGCGTGTCCCACATACTTTTAATGACTTTCGAGCGAAGGCGTACCCAGTGGGCCCCGCCCACCGTGAAACGACACGCTCCACTGATCACCAGGAAGCGTTCGACAATACCCGCAAAGTGGGCGGGTCGTCTGTTGCATCAGAAAATTTGGAACGGTCAGTATGGATTAGGTTAGGATGCTGTGCTTGAGGTGGGAAGGTTGCTGGTTCGTATCCCAGCAGCCTCAGAGTATGACCCTTAACTCCCCCCCCGAGTGCTCCAGCGATGACCTGAACCTGCCCTCCCCTCTTATATCATGCTTTGGATAAAAGTTTGCATCTGGTAAATAAATTAAACATAATAGAGCAGACAGGCATCTGTATGAGCTGAATGCACGTATCCTCAGCCATCTTTAATGGCGGCTTTTTTTGGTGTAGTAACCGTCTGAACACCAGGCCTGACGCCGCAGTTAAATCTCCGAAACAAGCGCCCGTTCCGCTGACGCCGTGGCGCCAAGCAAACTCATTTCCTTTCGGAGGGGGTTTTAAACGGCCTATGCCCGCAACTTTAGAACGTATCCCAGTAAAGACGCCGGTGGAATACGAATTGCTGTTCTCTTTTTCTATCCACCTAGAGCCGCAGGCGTGAGCGGAATGAGAGAGTGAGGAGGAGTGCGTCCTGGGGAGACAGGGGGCTGCTGGGTAGGGGAGTCAGACCATGGACAAATGGGGGGGGGGGCAAAGGAGAGGGGGCAGAGAGAAGTGCTGAAAACGAGACAGAAAATGAAGCTGATTATACGAGGAGAAGGATGAGGGAGGAGGAGGAATTAGAGGAGATGAGTTT